CCTGACGTCTTACGTTAGCCCATTCCACCCTTGGCTTTGAAGCTAACCGAAGAGCATCTATGCAGACAGCTCACGTGTGAACCTGGCCATCCCATTCTAGAGCCTGAGCATCCATCTGAGAAAAGGACAGTGGCCAGAGTGTTGAACTGCTCCCCAGGGCATACAGGCAGCAAAGAGGTCCCAGGTCAGAGAGGGAAGAGCAAGTGTTCTGAAGCCAGAAGGTCATGTGGAAGGTCCGCAGCTTCCCAACCACATGGGCAATTATGTGTAACCCCGAGGTGACCCTCGGTATAATAGGAGGAATTATCCCTGCCCTCCCCACTCTCCGGCGTGCCATGAAGATCAAATGGGGCTCTGTGTGTGAACGCACATTATAAACCTTGGCATCCCATTAAATACCGCCATGACGAGCGTGCCATCGTGAGAGGAGTTTGGCACCGGGCAAGGCCGGCTAAAGCTTTGCCTCCTCGGGGGGCAGGTGACCCCCAAAGTTTGTTTTCAGGTTGCAAGCAGAGATCTTGTATGCAAAGCAGGGTTTTCGAAAACAACAACATTGAGGAGTATCAGTCTGAATGTTGATAAGTGTTTTATAAATAGCTGCATAATTAGCATGTACTTACTGCAAAAAGTATACATAATATTTTATTCCCCGTTGTAGGCTGTAATGAATCTGCTGTCTCCACATCCTAGGAGGTTTTCACTTACTTTCCCTGTGATAATTTTAATACATGGCACCATTATTAGCTGAATTAAGAATAAGTAAATGAGCAGTTAAAAAAAATACAGAAAAATTACAGGTGCCTGTGGTGAGTAAGATAATAACTAGGTAAAAATATATGAAATAATTACAGTGTTTGAACGGCAGAGCCGGCGTGAGGAAAATGACTCAATGGAACATCAAGCCTGCTGTCGGGAAGAGTAAAAAGAGTGCGGCCTGCCTTCCGGCCTGCACCTCTTCCGTTCTCAACCCTGAGCACACACCCGGTCTGTCCGCAGCCCTAGGACCCAGTGCCGAACCAGCTGGTCCTCTCCCATGGAGACAGCCGCCCTGAGGGCTTACTTGTCATCTTGTAGATTCGGCAACTGATACTGAAAGTTCCCGTTTAAGAGATGGGCCAGATGTTTTGACATCTGCGTGGACTTCCTGTACCTGGTAGCATTGAAATCACTGGGAACTGATTTAGAAACAGCTCTGTGAGCTGTGTTTGACATCTTCGCAGAGAAAGATTTCAGGTCATTTGGATAAAAGTCTGGAGAAGCTGTGATATTTTTGAAGTAATTTTTTTGGGGAAAGTACATTCTGTGTTGGTATTTCCAAATGGTGTATTGACTTAAGATAGTTACCCAACCAGCATTTTGAGTCTCTTTTGGGCCTAGTCCCCAAATAGTAAATGTGGAGATCCACTGTGACTTTAAAACCTGGACCTGGCTCTTAAGGGTTCCGACTCGGTGCTCCTGCCTGCAGCGCACTCCCCTTTAGAGAGAAGGCTGGGGCCGGAACTGGAAGAGCTGGTAGATGTGACAGGGTTGGCTTAGTCATGGCGACGCTGACAGCAATGAACACAGTGCAGATGTTAGTTCAGACATTAGCAGCTCCTGCCTCCCTGACTCAGTTTACCCAAGCAAGCAGTAGCACTTGTACTTTTATTTTTTGTATGGTCTGGGCATGCTTTGAGAATTCGGGTACATTTCTCTCCATCTCCAGTGAATTTTCCTGATTCCCAACAGACTTAAATCTACTACATAGCACATGTTTGCTAAGGAAGTGAGTATCACATGAAATATTACATGGGGGAAGACTATTGTAGGGATGTGATAATTTGAGCCCCAGTCCTAAGAGTTTCATTGTTAAAATCTGGGAAATCGCTTAATCTTGCTCTGTCTCTTGATAGTTGAAGGAATTGCTATCAAAAGGCTATGGAAACTATAATACCTGCCCCATCTGAAGCCAGCTGCGTATAAGTGACAAGTTTGGCCATTTAAACAATATATTTTCTTCCAGACCATCAACCCTTCTCAAATTTGGGGTAGATTTTTGTGGGAATGAACAGAAACCACTAGCTTATTACCTATGAAGTCTTCTCTGCGTCCCTTAGGGAACAGATTCCAGGCCCTGGGGAGATGGCTCAATTACCAAAATGACTACTGTGAACACAGGAGGATGGAGTTCAGGTCCCCAGAACCCATGTAAAGCCAGGTGTGACTTGTAACCTAGCAATAGCGATAGGGTAGGAGATAGGCAGCTCTCCCATCCCGTACAGCAGCTCCGTAGTTGCTTCCATTTTCCTTTGTATGGGGTCGCCGTCTTCGAGTGGTTCGAAATCATACAGCATGTATAATGAAATCTTTTTAAAGAGTCTGATCAGACAGGACATAGTGTGACATTCTCTTAAAGTTGAAACGACGCGTTCAAGAATATATGCACACTTCAACAGTGTAGGGCTTTAAGAAAGATGTTTTCCATAGGCGATATCACTTAGTCCTAGCGAAGTGGAGAGAGAGAGGCCTGGGTTGAGGGGAAGAGTGAAGTGGGAACAGCCTGAAGTCACGATAGCTGGCGTAGAGAGAGCTCGGAGTAAGCCCAGCATAGCAGGGGCTTTAAAACACACTCTATTGGATTTCATAAGTTTACTACCTCATACTTACCAGACCCCACACTTAGCCATTCTTACTTTATCTTACTGACTCCAAAGATGAAATTTTAAAATGGAACTCTGCAAAGCCTGGCCTAAGCCGAGTTTTTTCCTACCTCCTGAGTTGAGATTCATTTTGCTGTTGCCCTAGAACACGAGACACTGGGGCAGCTACAAGGAAAAGAGCTGTATTAGCTCCCAGTTCTGGAGGCTGGAAGTTCCAGGGGGCCACATCTGCTCAGTGTCTGCCAAAGGCATCATCCCGCTCTAAGCAGAAGGGCAAATGGCAGAATTGTAAAGAGGGAGCCAAGAAAGGAGTTCACATGCCTCACAATGGTTCACTCTAGAAAGAACCAATCCATTCCTGAGAAGTCATACAGTCTTTCCACAAAGACATTAACGTCCCTAAAAGACATCACCTTGTGGTGTTGTTGCGTTAGAGAATTGAAACCTAGACTTGAATCTTAGTGGGAGCATACCATATCAAAACTAGCACCACACGACACACGGGTTACTGTTAAAATTAAGCAAAAGAGACCGTGTTATGCTTTATTGGTTTGTGGTCTCTCATTCTCTTTGGATCAGCCTCACGCAGGTGTCATTAAATATATCTGAAGAGAAGCTGGAAGTTGTCTCATCTCACCTCGTCCCGCAGGTGAACAAACGGAAGTCTAGTTCCCAGTGACTCACTCCAAATCAAAGCAATTGACAGTGGGAACAGAAGGGCACAAGTCCAGATTCTCAGCCTCTGCTGAGCCAACCAGTATCTGAGTTTCGTCAGTCACTCCCAACAGTGCTGACGCCTGCCGTATACGATGGCCACACGACTTTATAACCAGCGCTGTAATTCTTAAGAAAGAAAATCTAAGTTATGCATTTTTATGTATATGTGTGTGTATACATATATTCAAGAGACCAAAGGGTTAATCAGAAAAGAAATAATTTTCACATAAAGTGATCTGTCTTCCCTCTTTTTATTGTAAGCTCAGAGAGAATTGTAGCAATACAGCTTGAGCAATTTTCTTTTTTATGAATCTCGTGCTCAATTTATGAAAGCCATTTTGCAACCCATTTACATGCAGTAAACCTTTGCTTTAAGGTCCTGTCATTCCCCTTGATCATGATTATTTATGGTTCTCTCCGAAAGGCCCTTTCTGGTTCAGCTCCGGGCCGCAGTCCTGCCACAAGGCAGTTTTCTAAGCTGCCTTTTAAGCCTTGGCCATCAGCTAGGATGGGGGCGGTCTCGTGGCTTGCGACAAGGCTGAGGAATGTGCTTCGATGGGAACAACTGTATCTGGAGTTGGGAGTCTTGGACTCGAAACCAGCGGTGCCCTGTCGCTAGGTCATCATAGCCCTTTCGTGTTGCTCTGCTCACTCTCAGAAAGGAAACAACGGTTCCTACACAGGTGGGAAAGAGAGCTCCGCCAGGGTCCTTCCGGTGTAGTTTATGGCATAAACTATAAATTCTAGTTGTTTTAGGAACTAGGTGATGACGATATGCGCTACTATAAATCACTCAAAAAGGAAAAGTCTGTCTAAAATACTTGTATCATCCTCACACGAGAGTCAATGACATCGTGGCCCTTTACATGTGGTGGGCACTCAACAAAGTGTTGAGTCCTATTGGTGAATAAGTCAAACTTTGAGATGAAGGTCATGGCACTGGGCCTGGTATAGAGCATAGGGCAAACAGCATCAGCCCAAGCCTCACAGGGCTTGCACCGGAGGGCTGGCCATTTGTGTCCAAGCTGACAATGATGTAGGATGTGGCTCTAGGTGAGAGAAGAAGGTGTGGTACAGGAGGGTCTGGCGCCCTCATCAGGGGCTGATTATATAAAGGTGTTCTCTCCCTGATACCAAGTGAGTTGTTCTACCCCCACCTTGCTTGCTCATATGAACATGGTCCTGGCAGGAAAGGGCATCCACCCAGCAAAGTGAAATTGAAATTCATGTAAAGAAGGGGATCCTAAAGATGTAGGTACGATTATGAGACCCAACGGGATAAAGCAAAGTAGCCAGAAATAAGCTATGGGAAATCCCATTACTATCCTGAGAGGTGAAGGGCGGGGTAGAGGGCAGGCAGGGGGAATGGAGCTGAAAGTAGAGCCGACAGGAATCTTTGTCAACACATTAGTCTATGTAGTCTATAGTCTAACTCCTCCATCAGCTATCAGGGGGAAAGTGTGCCGGAGTTCCCAAGAGTGTGTATGTGTGTGCTTCAGACCCTATGATGGGAAGCCTCCTTGAGGACCAACATAGGAGATCGCAGCCGTCTACAGCTGGGGTTTCTCACTCTCTGCATTGCCAGTAGCACACAGAACTGGGTGGGCAGTAGCTCTGTCTGTGGTTTCCTTGACTCCTTGGCACTTACCACGCACAGCCTTCTCAAGGCACAGAACAGGAGAGAATGGACTATGCTCTCAACAACAAGAGGCGGGTCATCCGATTGGTTCTGCAGTGGGCTGCCATGTACGGGGACCTGCTCCAAGAAGATGATGTGGCCATGGCTTTCCTGGAGGTATGTGGGGGGGAGGTCATTCATTCCAAGAATATTCTCCCGTCTCATAATACAGGGTTATACAGCAAACTCTATAGAGATGCTGGGATTGCCAGCTCCCGGCTTTGTTAGCATGTTCGCTGCCAGAGAGGTACTTTGATAAAAAAAAAAAAAAAACAGAAAACAAAACAACCATCATCTACTATACGGCTATTCTATTTCAGCGAGCGGTGGCATTGCAACGTGTTATCGTCTGCTCTCGTTCTCTTTGTATGTTTGAAAGGCATATAAACACATTAGTGTCCAGCATTTTGCAGGCTGAGTTTCCTACTTAGCTCTGTAAAGATTTTTCCATGTCAGTATGGTCTTTGTAATAGAAAGTTCTGATGACCAGCCAGTAAACCACCCACAAATGTATTTATCTGTGCCGTATTGTTCCATTTTCTCCTCCCTGGAATACAAATATTTTGTGCATGTAGATTTGTCATGTTCCTTTCCTTCTTAGGAGTAAGATCGCTCAGACAAACGGCAGGTGAGTCTGGCTGCTAAGAAGCAGGCTGATTTCAGGAGGAACTCTCAGGGCAGCCAGGGGGCAGTTCTGAATGGGCATTGCTTCCTTGGTCAATGCTTCTTCTTGCTCAGCTGACTTTCTTTCCTGTGGTTCACTGCAGCATGGGCTTTGGGTTTTAACCCTAGCGTAAGTAGTGCCCCAGTGTCCACTGGCAGAGACCTGTGCTGCTAATAGAACAAAGTTTTGAATATTACTGGGTTTTTTTTCTACACATATCTACCCAGGATAAAGTTTCTTAACTCAGCACACTAGGAGGTAAACGACAGTAACCAGTAGGAAAATACTACCTATATTGTAATCAAAGTATTTAAATTTGATAAATTATGTATTTCTGGGATTCTCCATGTAGTATTCCCAGACTGCAGTTGGTGACAGGTAACTGACACAGTGGGACATGACTCTCCCAAGAGAAGGGGGACACTTGTACTCATGCTCCCCCCCGCACAACTCTCCAGGAATACTCCGGTACAGGGAGAAGACAGTGCGGTTCTGTTTCAAAATTTCCAGTCGGTTTACTCTAAAATTAATTTCCCAAAGGAACTGTGCCTCCTTTTGACTCGTGCTGTCTTTGATGCAGCATCAGGGAAAGTGGACTCTGAGGGGGCGTTGTTCAAGGGGTTAGGATTTTGAAAATAAGAAATATGCTGACTTGGGGCCCCTCTCTGTAACTACCATGGTTGTGGTGGCTGGCCATGGAGACCGCTGCTCCTGAGAGACACAGGGAATGGGTGCTGCTGTTGCTACTAGGTGTTCGGCACAGCTCTGAGGAGTCAGCTGGGATGGCGGCACAAGCCCACAGTGTGAGGACCGTGTCTGCATTTGTACCATTAACAACCACACCCGTGGTATATTAGATAAACAGAAAATACTACAGTAATATCAAAAATAAATATTAAGTTGGACAGAGTTGGCATACGCTTTTAATCCCAGTTCTCAGGGAGGCAGAGGCAGGCAGATCTCAGTGAGTTTGAGACCAGCCTGGTCTACAGAGTGAGTTCCAGGACAGCCAGAGCTACACAGAGAAACCATGTGTTGAAAAAAGAAAAAGAATAAATATTAAAATTCCCTGGAGATAAAAGAACAAAAAAGAAAAAAGCTTTTAAAGTATAGATTGTAAAGTGGTCTATTCCAAAACACCGCCGTTCACCCTCTTTCACATGGTGACACATAAGTTCACTTGCTGTTTATTGTTTTAATTTTTGTGATGGTAAAATGTAAATAGCATAGAATTTATTATTTTGACCAATTTAAAATATATAATTCATTGATAGTCATTTCATCACCATTATCTATTTCCAGGACCTTTTCTCATTAAAAATTTCCAATGTAAATATTGACTTCCTCCTTCTTCTCTCCCGTCCTCCTCCCCCTTCTAACCTCTCCTGGCCATGAAGCTGGGGGTGCTAGCCACATTCACGGCCCAGGCTCTCTAGAGAGCCGTGCTCCGTTCCGTTCTCACTAAGATCCTGTGCCTTTGCCGATTACAGGAGTTCTATGTGTCTGTCTCAGATGACGCCCGGATGATGGCTGCCTTCAAGGAGCAGCTGCCGGAGCTGGAGAAGATCGTCAAACAAATGTAAGGAGGGGCTTTGCTCTGGGGTGCGCTTTCCCCAAGTGAGTGCCAGCCTCGTGATTAGAACATCTTCCAAAAAAGTCTTCGCCTGCAAAAGTGGCTGAGGCTGGTCTATCATTAGCCACAGTGTTCTGATTTGTGTCACGGGCCCCAGGCACAGGTGGTAGTGAGGCTGGATGAGCAGAGGGCTGGATGCCTTCTGTGCGAGCAGGCTATGGGCCCCTTAGCCCACCTAGCAATAAAATAGTCCATGGGCATTTGGGTATTTGAAGACATTTACCTAGATGGGAAATTCACTCTCTGCTGCTAAAGCTGTTGATTGAAAATATTTGCTGTCAGTGAACTGGTAGATTAAGAGAGTGAGTTAGGAGTTTGACTTTGAAAGCCAGGAGCCAGAGCATTTAACCTCGGGTCTGCTCAGAATCTGCCTGTGACGAGAGCTAATGGTTTTGCCACCTCCATGCATTTTTGGCCTCTTCCTGTGAGAATGGGATGTCTCCCATTGCTGCCCAGAGGGATTGTGTGACTTCATTGCTAATCACAAGATGAAAGTGATGTACAAATGAAGCTAAAAGAACAGCAGCAATGGTACTCAACAGTGTGTTTTCTCTGCTTCTTGTAGCTCAGAAGATGTGAAAGCGCCACAGAAGAAGGTAAGGGGTCTCCAGAGCCCGGCTCTATCTGTAGCATTATGATCACCCAGAAGCCCCGGATTACAGTATATTGGAGTGATGTCTCCTCTGTACACACAAATCTACTTGCTTCATTCCGTGGCCCTAATTGCTCCTCAGGCGCATCTTCTCGGAGTTGTTAGGGAATGTTAGTCACTCGCTCTGCCTTACGTCACTTGCGGTTATTATTTTTGCAGCACAAGGTCCTTTTGCAGCAGTTCAACACAGGTGACGAGAGGGCCCAGAAACGTCAGCCGATTCGTGGCTCTGATGAGGGTGAGCAATCTCTTGTGTGGAATTTTATAATCAGGCTAACATCTGTCCCTGGATATCATCACCTTGAAATCACCACTACCACAAAAAAAAAAAAAAAAAAAAAAAAAAAAAAAAAAAGCCCAGCTCTTGGCTCTTGGATGTGCCCCTCGGTCTCCTGATAAATTATGTTCTTGGAGTCTGGTACCCAGACAGAACTGAAATGCTTGCCCACACCTGACTGGCACTGCCTCTCCACAGTTGTCACCATCTCTTAAAAGAATGTGGGTTCTCTCAGGGCGTGGTTGTCAAGATCATCACTTCTTTGAAGAACTGGTGGGAAGGCTGTGGGAACCTTATAGATTCCCAGAGCAAGGTGTAACACACACACACACACACACACACACACACACACACACACCGGTCATTAGTAAGAGCAGGGCTCAGGCCCTGACCACAGACATCTAACTATTGCATTGCTTATGCTTTTCTCTAAATGCCTGTGACCACTTTCTCACATTGTCATCCATCTCTGAAGTCTTGTTTAAGGTGTACTGCGTGGACCATACCTATACCACCATCCGGGTGCCCGTAGCTGCCTCGGTGAAGGAAGTCATCAGTGCGGTGGCTGACAAACTCGGCTCTGGGGAAGGGCTGATCATAGTCAAGATGAACTCCGGAGGAGGTAACAGCCTGGATTAGCATCTTGGGCTTTTGTGAAAGAAACCATCCTGTCCAATAAGAACCATTGTTAGCTAACCATAAGTTAGCAAGGCCGTTCGTGGCTGACCCGGGAGGATGGCAGAGACATTGTGAGCTTCCTAGAATGACAGAAACATTGTAGGAAGAGGTGAACTGATCAGATGTCTGACATTCCCTGCCTCAGAGCTTCGCACAGAAAAGAGGAAGAAGAGAAGGGATTTTGGGGAGGCAGCTGTGTCTGTAACCTCTGGCGTATGTGACAGCCTGGGGCTCCTTCCTTGGAAACCATAAAAGAACTCTCTGGGCCTAAGATCCTTGAGAAAGGTGCATGGAGCTTGACCAGCTAAGGCTCTGGTGTCTGCAAACCTGAAGCTTGGGTCAGTTGAGGGCTCACTCTTTTCAAGCGACTACAATTTCTTCTTTATCTGTTAGAGCCAGCCAGCCCAGCTGCCCTCATAGCATGAGGAGTACATCATTCCCCAACCTGGGACTAAAATACCTTCCCTTGTCCCTGCTTATATCATACCTGAAATGTCATTTTGTGTCATCCTGAATGCCCTGGGAAGCTGCACGTAGCAATGACAGAAAAGGGTGAATTAGACACACTCTGTGTGCGTGAGTCACTTCCAGGCCGGGAGGGGTTAGGAAGTAAATGAGCACCTGCACCCCATGCCAGCAGGGTTGGACAGTGGTCACCCACAATGCATTGAGAGAGTGCGGGAAGGAGCCAGGGTATGAATTCCCCAGGGGAGGCCTCACAGCCATTTGAGGGGCCCTTTAGGAGTGGAGCGGAGCATTTCTGCCTCATATGAAGGTAGATGATTCCAATGATTCAGGGTTTAAAGTGGATGATGGATTCTCAATACCCTGCATTCTGTTTTTGTCCCAGTTGGTCCAGGCCCAGGATGACCAAACACTCTTCCCATAGGTGTCCTGGTAAACTGGGTATTCGCCTAAATGATATTGTTGCTGTTGACGCCTGTTCCTTGATGTCCCATCTAAAATCTTAACTGCTCCCCTGCCACATACTGTCTAACCCCCTTCCCTGCTGTTCTCTGTGGCCCTTATCCCATCTCACTAACACACACACACACACACACACACACACACACATTCGTTAACCCTCTGTGTTGACTGGAATTTTTAATTTATGCTTTATATCTCTCTATCATTTATAGTTTATCCTCCCATCATTTCTTTGTGTGTCCCCAGTGTCTGGTACATAGTAAGTACTAAGTATATATTCAATAAACTAATTTGTAAAATACAGAAAAGGGCTGAATGTAGCTAATGCTGTTCCCTTCCAAATTGGAAACAAATAAAAAAAAAACATATATTTTTGCAACTAAAACCATGTGAGATCTCTGAAACATCCACCAAGGTTTTTAGCAATGCTCTTTCTCTCTCCAAAAGGCCAGGCATTGTTACCCTCAAGAAACCTAACTTGCTATCTAAACGACTGTGCAGGTGTTATAAATAATAATGGCTGCAGAGTAGATCAGGGCAAATGGATCCTTGGGTGTCCGCACTCCTGTTGTGTGGTCATTTCTGACGGCATCCCGAACACCATGCGTCTATCCGAAGCACTGTCTTTTTTTTTTTTTTTATTCAGTGGATCCCCTCACCCCTGCGTTTTATGCAGGCGCGTTGCGTGTTCCGGTAATTCACCGAGCTGGCAATTTGTTGGTGTGATTAGGGCAGTGCAGCGAATCTCAGATGGATTTAATAGGCAATCTCATGCTTTTTATGTTCACAGAAAAGGTGGTGCTCAAACCTAATGATGTTTCAGTATTTACGACGCTCACCATTAATGGACGCCTGTTTGCCTGCCCGCGAGAGCAATTCGACTCACTGGTAGGTGTGAATGGCCTCCGCCTTGGAGCGGTGTGTGCAATCAGAAAACCTTGTCTGCAGCTTAATCTCACAGCCACACTGAGGCTGAAAAATCGCGACTGCGGTGTGGCTTGTTCTACACTGTGGTCTGCCCGGAAAGCCTCAGGTGCTCTCTAGAGATGCTCCCAGCTGCAGATGATCTGTGGGAATTAGCCAAGCCGCACCACCACGGAGACAGTTTAGTATTAGGAACCTTGGGGGTGATTCATTTCATTGAAACGTCTTTAAATTCAGTATTAGCGTTTGAAATCGGGATGCTCAGATCAGGAGGGCAGTGATTGCTTATAAGGGAAGTACCAGTCTTCGGAGACTTCTGAAAGAGGACGGGTGGCGGGGCCAGCAGCAGGTCTAGAAGGGCTTCTCCCTCAGCACACTCTCAGAACCTTCGTAGGGATACTAGAGGTCAGAGCACTTGTCCCCAGCCACCCAGAACTTCTGTGAAGAAAGGACACATTCATTTCTGCTTATCCTATAGAAATTAAGTGTGGAATTGACCAGCTATTAAAGGATATTAGAAGCCGCAGGACCAGTTTTAGCTTCACAAAGTGAGTTTCCTGTGTCTGGACCCATGAGCTTCCCTTGATATATATATATCAGTATGTAAGTAAGTGAGAGGTGAACCACATGAAAATTTGAAGAACATTCCATTTCCTTAGCAAGTAGATCTTGCTGGAACTTCAGGAGGGAGTCGGGCTGGAGGGTGGACTCAGAGTCCTTGGTGGCCTTTGAGGCCCCATGGAGCTTGTTTTTCCTGCTCGGGAGACTGGTTTCTGCTTCAGGGAAGGCCACAGGTCTTTGCTCACTCATTTTTCTAGATGTGGGCTTGCCATGTAGCCCATGCTGAACCCTGGGGTTTTTGTTTTTGTTTTGTTTTGCTTTTTGTTTTATGTTTTTTTTTTTTATTTTTTGGAGGGGGTGTTGCTTGCTTGTTTTTCAAGACAGGGTTTTTTCTGTACAGCTCTAGCTATCCTAGAACTCGATCTGTAGACCAGGCTGGCCTCGAACTTAGAGATCCACCTGCCTCTGCCTCCCGAGTGCCGGGATTAAAAGGAGACACCTCTGCTAGGTTTTAATCCTCATTCCTTAGTCTCCCGTGTTGTGGGATTATGGGTGTGTGCAGCCAGACCCAGTGGGACAGCTCCTTTGACCATCTTGCTTTCACTTAGGGAAGAACAAATGTGACATGGTGCTTTTGATTCCCTAACCAAGCCCTAACCCTAGCTACCAGCCCAGGAATCTCAGCATGGAGTCACACTCCTGTCTGTGTATCCCTGAGCTCCTCGGTCACCTGCCTTCATTCCTCTCTGAATAAACATCTCTCAACAGGGAGCAATTAAGAAATGAAATGAATAACCCAGGAAACCACATCAAGACAGAAGGGGAAAAGTGTTCCCACAAAGTGTTCCACTGGTCATGGCCATGAACCATTTATCCTTCCTCTCCCCGCACATATCATGCATAGACATATAATTTTTAAAAATTGCTACCCTCCCCTGGAGACTCACGTCTCGAACAGCCAGTGTTGCTGATGTTCCGTCGAGGGTGCTGGGTGATGTGTTTGCCACACAGTGTGCTGGGGCCTCTCTTGCCAGCTGGTTCTTGGCCGCTGTGTTGAGCCAGGGGGGTAGATAGATAGGCATGTGGAATGTCTCCAGCTCCCTGGGGGCAGACACTAACGTTTTAAGCTTCTGTTTATTGAACACAGTCCTTCGGCCTTCCAAGTTCTGGTCTCTTGCTTATCTTCCATTTTAAGGCCTGACTGGTTGGAAGGAATTTGCTTGGCAACTAGGACCCTGGACAGGAAGCTCTCTCAGCTGGGGGGGTGCCATGTCTCTGTGCTCACAGAGGTCGGACCTTACCTGAAGCCCTCCCTCTCAGACTTGCTGAAGCATTCCTGTGAGGATCGCCCTTCTAGAAAGAGTCATCCAGAGGGCGACTGCAGGGCTGCATGTCGACAGAACCCTCAGATCTATCAGCACACACTTTAGTGTCTGCTAAGCACTCAGTGCTGTGCCTGCTTCTGTGGCCAACAGGACAAGTGCCCCGGAGCATTGTCCTTACGACAATGACAGTCAAATCAGGATGCGAGTAACCCAAACAGTCCGGGAGAAAATGAATTTTGGTGTTAAACTGTGTTGTCTACACCCAGTAGAGTGCCAGCGTTGATCCGACTAGAGCAGGGCTTGGATTCAGGAGATTTACTCTCTTGAAGTTTTATTTGAGTATAAATGTTAGTACAAAACCAATTACAACAGAGCTTCAGTGTACTGTAATTTGGCTCGCCTTGTATCCACTCACTGAGTTCCTTAGACTTTTATTTAGTATCTGCCACATTGTTCCGTGTTCTGTGGACGTTCCTGGCTGTGGGAAAGACAAACCTTTCATAGTCCATGTTCCTCACGGAGCTTGTGATGACCGGTGTGCCATCAGAGAGAGCCCACTATGACAGATTCCACCACAGGAAGATGGAGAGTCTACAGGGCTTTCTTTTACACCCTGGAGTGATGTCCAGACACCAGCCCAGCACCCATGACCAAAAGAGTTCCCCGTCTTTCTTAGTATTGAAATCTCCACAGGAGTTGTCTGGTAAATTAGTCCTGTTTATCAGATACCATAAAATCTCCAGGAAACTGCTAGTGGGTAGATAGAGTCACCGAGCCTCGAGACAGAGTCGGTGAATAGAGTGGGGGGAGGGCGTTGAGGGGTGGAGCAGAAGGGTTGTGCTCACAGCAGCCGCTATAGGAGGGCAAGGGAGATCACAGAGAACCAGTCCAACCTAAGTCATGGTCCTAAGGCCTTCTACTAAATTCCTGCCCTGGCTGAAACCATTCCCACCTGGTCCCATAAGCTACTTGCCCATCGGTGTCAGGTCTATTTGGAATCATTGCTTTCTGCCTTGTCCTCCACACTCTGCAGAGTGACTCCATGCCCAGCTCTTAGCCTGAATGGTGCCCTAACCACACTTTCTTTCCTGTGCGTGTGTAGCCCTGGAGCCGCTCTGGAAAGGAGACCTAATTTGAGAGAGGGGCCCTCCCTGTGCCAAGGACTGGGCTTACATGCTGCACTTAAATCGCTCTCATTTAATCCTCTTAACAAACCTTGGTATTAATACCCTAAGTTGCCAACTTAGGTAGTATAACCCTGATTTCCTGGAGCTGGAGACAGTCAAAAGATTAGGGGACGATTTCAAGCATGTGTTGCTATCGTGCGGTTTATGCTCAGTCTGCTGTTTGCCGAGGCCGGCGCTAACATGGTCTATTATCTTGCCTGTGACAAAACCCCGTCTCCTAAGCTGCTACTCGGAGGCTCTTTAAAAGCTGTTATTTGGTCCCTCTGTGCAATCTGTTCCTGCAAATCAAGTCTCCTGGCAGCTTCCCCACTTCCAAGCCGCCCTTGCTATCAGCCTAATATGGACCGTCCTGAGCAAGGCTTCTCTCATTCACCTGCCCCCTGGCTCTTGTAATCCTCCATCACACAGTGACCCCAGGTATGCAGCATCTTTCCATTCAGGTGCCTCCGCCTGCCTGTCTGGGTACCTAGTAGTCTAGTATGTCGACACTCTGTCTCCAGATGTGCAACAGCAGCCCAGCAAGTGACTGTATCCACAAGTAGCATTGCACCCATTGGTAGAGGGTGACTACTATATAGTAAGCTTGACTGCTCATCTCATAGACTGAACTTTGCAATGCAGGTATCACCTACACCTTGACCATGTCATTTCTTTGGTGTCTAGAAAGCAGGGGCATTTGTAGAGCACAGTGGTAACGGAGATGCGGATGAAACCTGTATAATATTAGTGCTTCTAACATGAGCCCCTTTCCTGGGGCTGGAGCACACAGCCTTGAACATGCAAAGAAAGTACACAGCCAGAGTTGTATCCCTAGCACCGGGACGTGAATATTTAATATCCAAATACAGTTAGCATCATATTGGCAGACATTCTTTTCATCACTATATGCTCACTGGCTTACAGATAAGCATTAAGGTTTTATAAGCTCCAGTCACACATTTTACAAGGTAAAGACACTTTATAGTACATTTCTCCAAATACAGAGGGAGATAAGTGGACCAAATGAGAACTTCTGACCAAGAGTCTTGGCCAAAGCCACAGAGTTTGGGCTTGGCCCAAACACGTGACTAATGTTCAGACACTCTCAGCTCAGGGAACTGGAAATCCTGCATAGTCTCAGTTCACACACTTGCCACCACTTCACCTTTCCAGGTGGTGTGCGCAGACATGGCTGTGGCAACTTGACTGCCATCACCACCAGCAGTTAAGTGGTACTGCAGGTAGACATTCAAGCTCCCATGCTAGTACTTGGCTTTATAATAGTTTCCATAAGAACATAAGCGGAAGGTCTCCAAGATCATCTTCCATCTTTACCACAGAAAAGGAAGTTTCCAGGAACCTCCAAGCCCCAGGCAAAGGAGACCTGAAGTGTTTATCTAGTTATTCGTTAGCAACAAAAACTCAGGAGTCAGATACCAGGGTAAGAACCTGAAAGTGACCAGTGACCTCAATTTGGGGGGGGGGGGGTCGTCGAGACAGGGTTTTTCTGTAGCTTTGAAGCCTATCCTGGAAACTAGCTCTTGTAGACCAAGCTGGCCTCAAACTCATAGACATCTGTCTGCCTCTGCCTCCCGAGTGCTGGGACTAAAGGCGTGCGCTACCATAGCCCGGCTAACCAGTGACCTCTCATCCCTTTCGTTCCTCCATCCAAAAGGTTGAAACCCTCTCTAAGACCCACCCTACTACTTCCTGTCTCTTTATCTGCCCGCAGTCCTCCAAAACCTCTATGGTTATTGGTCAGCTCATAGCTAGCTCCACTCTGACTCAAAACAAACTTTGTCAGACTGCAATCTAAACATCCTACAACAGAGAACCTTCCTGGGTCATCCTTTGCCAAATCTCATTTGCCATGGTTTGCAGTTGATGATGATGGTGGTGGTGATGACAAAGATGGCCTTGAAGCAAGCACAGCAAACGGCAAAGGCATTTTTTAACCTCAAAACCAACATTTCAAAATATGCCTGACCGTGTTCCCCAAATCCTTTCCCCTCAAAAGCTCCTGAAGGTGTTTGACACTTGGCACTTAACCCTTTTGTGATTCTGATCCAGTTTCCCACAATTATTCCCAGACTCCCTTGCCAGAACAAGAAGGCCCCACCACTGGGACAGTGGGAACTTTTGAGCTGATGAGCTCGAAGGACTTGGCGTACCAGATGACCACGTATGATTGGGAACTCTTCAACTGCGTGCACGAGGTGAGGTCATGCCGGGAGCATCCAGGGGTTCCGGGTTCCGGGAGACTCTAGATGGGGTCTGCTTGCTCCACTCAACTTGCATTTCTGGGCTCTGCCATCTGGAAGCCACATGAGGGCTTTTGTGAATGCCGAGCTTATAAAAATCCTCAAATATTAAAGAAAAAAATCTCTGTGATGGTATGCTATGTCTTCCAGAGTATATTAAGCCGATAACACCTAGTTTATATTTATATATTCCACGAGCCTCATGAAGGCCCTTCAAATCTATATGACAAGTCACATCCGGGTTAGTGATTGAATTCACATCTGCTGCTCCATAGAACGCTTTCTTGACAAATAGAGGAGCCAGGCTGGCGTTTTGATTTAAAAGCCAACAAATAAGTGAAATTGTTTTCCTTTCTGTTCTAGCTGGAGCTAATCTACCACACATTTGGAAGGCATAATTTTAAAAAGACCACAGCAAACTTGGATTTGTTCCTGAGGAGATTTAATGAAATTCAGTTTTGGGTTGTCACTGAGATCTGCCTTTGTTCCCAGCTCAGCAAGCGTGTTCAGCTTTTGAAGAAGTTTATCAAGATAGCAGCTCAGTAAGTAGCCTTAACTTTGGAGGGAAAATAATAGTCTTTGAGCTGTGCTCTCACGGAATACAGCTTAAAATGAAGAGCAGGGTGGAGGAGCTGAAGGCAGCTGATTCTTGTGAGAGAAGACCGTCTTCTGGCTTTCTAAAGGTTAGCGTCAATACGTAAATTCACATCTTGTAATACGGGTGCTGGAGTCAAAGGGGGGCTCAGTTTTGCTCTGAGCACCTCAGATTTTTAAACCTCCTTGTGTTTGAAGAGGGCTCTAAGTAAACAAACGTTCCTCTGCAGGAATTTCTGTTGCAAGGCTCTTGAAGCCCTGTCCCACATAACACGTTCTCACCAGTAGAGGGCAGTAGAACACACTGTAACAACAGTTTATCCAACTCGGCCAGAATAAAAATCAGTAAAATGCATAAAGGCCAGCTAACCTGGTACTAGGCCATCATCTCCATACACATCAGAGAAAGCAAACATCTTATAAATATTCTCTTTTAATGCCCTTCTTGGGAAACCGTTTATTTACTGCGGGGGCCAGCTAGGTTTCTCCCTGACATGAATTTAATCTTCTCTGGCTATTTAGATACGCCTGACGACCTCCTGTTTACTTCCATGTTTTTGGTATCACCACAGTACTAAAAATAAAAAAGCTAAATGTGGCCTGTGGCTGTGAGACTTCTTCCCCTTCTAGACGCCGAGCGCGAGCTCGGGAAGGTTGGGAGAACAAGTGGCCCCAGCCAGGCAATTTGCTTGAGCCAAACAGTTCCTATCCCACAGGGCGGCTGATTTCCAGAGCTAAACAAAGAAGGAGAAGCTACTTGGTGCTTTATAGGTGCCGGCTTGCCAAATGCCTGGAGTTGTTTTGCCAAAAATGTTGAGGGCACAATAGAATACCAGGTCCTCTGAATGCACACGCTGCTTGCTCTTTCTCTGGAAAAGCTGTCTGTCTGAGGAAAGGGTTAGCCGAGTGTGGCCACTTTGCCGAGCAGCGTGAACGGCCTCTGTGCAGTGGGCGAATGCCTTCATGTGTTTGGAATGAGTGGATTATGGAAACTATGACTGGGTGGTGCTTTCCCATCCCCGAGAGCGTGTTCTCTCTTCACCTTAGCCTGCTGGTGCCAAGTGCCCCGCCGAGGGAAGAGGAGGCCTGCCTGTTGTTTTTATGGAGGCCACACAGATGAACCTTTCAAAATACTCAGGAATATATGTTTTTTTTTCATGTTTCTGCCTTTGTAATTTATCCTTCTGACTCCTGTTAATTATTTAGATGGACTTGGCCTTCCCTGTACGTCAACCGGTTATTTAAGCATCATTTCAGCCTCGTTCTAAGGCGACTGTCCCTTAGTGAACCCATTTACTCAGCCTGGCTGTTAAAGATTGCAGGCTTTCGGAACCCAGAGTCTACAAGAAGGAAACAGAAAGGCAATAGGGTCTCTTTGGCCTGCTGTCTGTAGAGAGCTACAGCATTTTCTTTAAGCTCTCAGCCCTGTTAGGAGCTTAGGAAAGATGAGGCACAGGCCAGGGGTAAATGTTTTTTATCCTTGCCTCACATGAGAAGAAATGAGACACACAGTCCTCTCCTGACCTGCCTTGAATGGTAAGCGAAATAGGTAACAGAGCAGGTCTGGGCTCTGGGTCATTCTCCCACAGCCACTTAGACAAATCATCCACGGAATAGCATTAGCCCTTCGCCTGGGAGCTGCTATCCCAGCACTGGCATGCCTTAGCTTGTTTCTCATGTGCCATCTGACCACCACAGCTCCTCTGGCGAGCATTTTCTCATCTCCACAGACGCAGAGAAGGGCTCATTGCTGGTTTTTGAGTTGAATATGAGCAGCCAAAGCAACCATTTAGTGAGCCTTCTACAAAAATGTTTATTCAAACATTTATTTATGATGCTGTTCAACTTAGATAGCCATATTGATTTGTGTTTATTATGAAATGAATGTGTTCCCTTTTTAGGGGCCTGATATGAAGAACTTAGGGTGTGGTTATTGTTGTTTGCCACCAGGTAGAGCAAGTACCTGGGATAATATCACCATTTTAATAAGAATTAAATTTCTATAATATACTTATTATTAAATTTGTAATTTAATAAGAAGTTAATTTCAAGGCTTGGTCCATGTGCTTCATTCCAAAATATAAATAAATTCTCATAATGGCATAAGCATAGACTCAAAATTATCAGCCTCCCTAACGTCAGCTAAATAGAAAGTAAGGTTATTTTTGTTATTGATGCTATAAATTATCTCCCAACTTCAAATTCCTGGAGAACTAGTGCCCAAGCCACCGGGACCATGCCTTGGAAGCTGATACTTTTCAACAATTTAGTGTCATTAACTTAGCGTGCAGGAGGCAGGGTGACCGCAGCCTTGTGACATCCTTCACTTCTTTCTACCTGCCAGGTCCGAGCTCCCACCTCCAGGTCTCAAATTCTCCAACATTTGCCTTCCCTTTCCCAATCCCATGGGATGTCTCTCCCCTCTCCACGCCCAGATTCACTACGGCTTTCAGCAGATTTCGGATTATAATAACAACCTTCTGGGGATGTAAATTTAAATATTCAAGACTCAAACCTCAATGGCCCAAACCATACACTTTCTAAAGCTATAGGGGGGTGTCAAACAGCAGAGCCTAGCTACCCAAGCAGAACTCCTACAGGGTGCTGAGTCTCTCATTGCCTGTTATATAAACGAGTCCTGATGAATATTAATGACTATCAGAAAATATAACTCTAACTTTTTTTAAAAAAAAAAACTCACTCAAAAGTGGCATTCTACTTAAACATGCACCTCTTTGTGTTCCAGCTGCAAGGAGTACAAAAACCTAAATTCCTTTTTTGCCATCGTCATGGGACTCAGCAACGTCGCCGTGAGCCGCTTGGCACTAACGTGGGAGGTAAGCCGCTGCTGGGATCCAGCTGTGACTTTTGCCACAGGCATAAAAACAGAGGCTCTCCGGTGAGCTCTTCTATAGAAATAGCTTTTGCGCTGGTGGAACAATGGAAAAGGCGGGACCCTCGGAGGGAGATGACCAGTCCTCTCTTTCTACTTACCGCAGCGTGAGAGTTTAAAAAGATACTGGCCAGGTGGGGGCAGGAAGGGGAGGGGCGGAAAACCTTAGCGGTTCCGGCTCTACACTGTAAATAGTCGTAAATGCAGGTCTTAGGCATAACACGAAGGAGCAGCTTAGATCTGATGGCGGCAAAAGTCGCTTTGCACACAGGTTCAATTGTCTCCCAACTGTCTGCTTATTGCTTTTGCACGGGGCCTTCCCTATGATTGAAAGAGGGCAGAAGATCCATTTTTATCCAAGTAGTCATTTTGCTTCCGAAAAAAAAAAAAATGTCAGCTGTTGGGAACAGCAAAGGACCCAGTATCTCATAACCACCTGGCGACTCCTCCCTCCAGAGAGGAGCAACAGTTGGCACGGACTGTCTTTGGAGCTAAAGTTATACAGGTGTGTTACAAACTTCTGCAGCAAACAGGGCGAGTGATTCATTGACTCGCTCAAAAACACGCTCAGCTGTCATTAGCTCAGCACTCGGGAAGTGCTTATCCCCCTCCGTGTGACATAGTTGAAGAATCACTAAACTCTAAGAACATACTCACGAAAATAGAGTCCTGATAAACATACACAGGCATGTGTAAGAGGGAGGGACCGCAGCGGAAGAGGGCAAAGAGTGTCTGAGAGACCCTCTCTGCCACGGTGTTTAATAGCCACCGCTTGCGTCCCCGTTCCCCTTGGCGTTCTTTTCCCACCCATTTCCCCCTTGAAGCTCTCCCCCCCCCCCCCGCTTCCCTAAATATTTCCATTGTTTTCTATGGCAAGTCCTCACACGTCCTTCTGTCTTGAGTTTCCCTTCAAATTCCAGGCAGCATGCAGCTTGCAGCCGTTCATCCCCTGAATATAGGCATGAGGGCATTGGTGAGGCCTGCGAGCCATGCGAGGCCATATCGGCTTCCAGCAAGCCGAAGAGCAGCGTGGGCGTGCCAATAATCGAGCAGGGAAACCGTTGTGCAGCGCCCGTCTTGCTGCCCATGCTTCCTGGGATCTCAAGAAACCCAGGGTTCCCTTCAGAGAGTCGGCCCTCCGCAGTAGGTCTCTGGCTTCTGATCCCACGCACAGAGTCCAAAAGGGTGGGTCAGAAGAAAGGAAAGTTCTAGAGGTTTTCGAGGAGGGCCCATGGAGGCCAGCTGTAGGTTCCACGTAACAGCAACCAGATAGCGAGACAGCACAATCTGGACCCTTCCGGCTGCCTCGGAAGCCCCTAGAGAGGATCCAGCCAGCTGATTGGCCAGTCCTTTACTTTCCCGAGTATAAGAGTGCCACGGGTATGAACTTCTATTTCGGTCGTTGCCTGTCTCGGACAGAAAAAGTCAGCCTTTTCCTGATTGATAAACCTTCATTTGTTTTTTGAGTTGAAGTGTGATTATGTGATTTTGTAAGGAGAACTTCCGCTCGTGAGCATCTTGATTTGGATTATTTCTCTGTGTTTGATGAAAACCTCGCAAGGGCTTCTCACACAGCTCCCGTGAGCCCCAGAGTGATGTCACAGGCAGTGTAAGGAACGGTGGTGCACGATCTCAGGGGACTGTAGAACAGTTAGGGTGCAAAGGAGCAAGTGAAAACGCTTGTGGTAAGAAGGGCTCAAAGCGGGAGAGCAACCTATATCTGAGGGGAAGCCACCGAAAGTGCGGGCCTTGGCCTAGTGAGACATTGGCACCCTGTAGTGGAGGGCTCCCTATGTTGTAGGGTACTGAGCTTCCTTCTCTGACCACACCCATTCTACTTCAGTAGCACCCCCACCTCGCAGTCATGACAGCAGAAATGCCTGCTGACTTTCCTAGCCATCCCTGGATTGGCTAAAGGCCCCAATGAGGCACATCTTTGGAAACTGTGTGGCTAGAGAACAATCTTAAGAGCCCCCAAACGGTTTATTACTATGTTGGGTATTGCCTTTGTCTGAGAATCTGGCTGAGTTAAGAGGGCTAAATGACAGAGGTGTGATCCAAAGCAGACTGTTTCCATGAACGTTGATTAAAAAAAATAGTTCTAGCACACACAAGTCTGTTCAATGTGTAGTCCTGGGTATGTAGCCCTAATTGGCCTTGAACACACGATGGAGACCAGGCTGGCCTGGAATGCGCAGGGATCCCCTTGATTCTGCTCCCAGAGTGCTTGGGTTAAAGGTGTGTGTTGCCATGGCCAGCTCAAGGAAGGTTTAGATTTTAAAATGGACCATATTTACTATCCAGCGTGGTGATGCTCCACGTGACATCCTCAGACCCCTAATGCCCGTCACAGCTTTCAGCCTGGCGTTCATCTTCTGCGAGATAATACAAGGTTCCTCCCATCCTTGAAAATGGGTTCTAGAGGATGTGGAGGATGCGCAAGGCACTGGCTTCCAGAAACAGAACAGAAGGTCTATGGGTGATTAGATGGGAATCTGACAGCCTGAGCCACACCCCCAGGGAAGAGTTCTCTGAGGACTGCAGAGGCTAGTGGGTGGAACAGCTGAAGAAGGGGGACCACAGGGAGCAGAGCAGGGCTTCTGGGAGTCTCCAGGTCCCACCCACCCACTCTCACGCTGGAGACACATTTTGGGACCGTTTGGAGTCCTGGCCTCCAGCTGCTCTTCCCTGCTAGAGAACTTCACTTTCCTTCTGATTTGAGTGGCTAAAAGCTGTGTCAAAGTTGTTTACCAGCTCTGCTTCACGAGCACGGGTTGCCTTGGCCTTGGGGATCAGAGCATAAGGTTTTCACCTGTTGGCCCACCTGTCTGTTGGGTATATAAGCCTCCTTGGTGCTATTGCATAGAGGGCTTCTTACCAGTGACTAGAGGTCTGTGTCTCTGTCTTTCTGTCTGTGTGAGTCTTTGTATGTTTCAACCTCCAGCCCCTTGCCCAAAGCTTGCAAACTGTATAGTAGCGCATAGAGCGCAGACAGGCGTTGTGCGCTGCAGAAACACATTGCTCTGCTTCATCTGGGTTTTTCGGTAGAAAGTTCAGCTTTACCAAAGCAACTCGGAGCAAAATGGGAAGCAGTGGATTGAAAAGGGATCCAGTCCTGATCTCCTGGCCTCTCTTGACAGGTGCTCTGAGTGGTGCTGCCAAGCACCAATGTGTAGACGGGAGAAGCCAGCATCCTGGTAGCCTCTCGCCTTTTCCAATAGAGCCAGGCAGAGAAACTATGCCAGAGGGCTTGGTTGGAAGGGCAGCTCGGAGCACAGAAGGGAAGTGATCTAAAAGCAAGCAGGGACTATGAACCGGAGGAACCAGGGACGGCCAGCCGTGGCTTAGGGATAGGCAGGCTATAAGACTAACTTCTTCCGTAGGTAACACACAGGCTTCAACTTTTCGAAGGAAACTGAGCGTCTCTGTACCTCAGCACTGTTGGGAACCAAGGAGAAACCAGTTTATAAAAACAAAAAGAAACACCATAAGAAGGCCCTTTTTTCGTGTCTTCATAACGAAGGAGAAGGGCTGCATCTTTCCTAAGGCTCTGAATCCTAACATTCTCCAGGCTAAATGTCTAATTGGGGAAATCAAAGACTTAACAGAAACAAGACTTTGGAGGGTCCAGGCCACTTATAGTCTCAGGAATGCAGGCAATCCTGATTATGAACCGTCCAGTCAAGAATATATTATAAAAGCAGTAAGGCCAATGCATTCATAGCTTCGTGGAGTTCAACAACAGTAAGACCTTTCAAAGGCAAGTTCCGTATATGCCAGAGATGATTCCCAGGCGACGGGGCGCACGATAGTTCATCCCGGCTCAGAGGCGGTTGACTGAGGGCCAGAAGAAATGCATCTCCCTTAGAAACGGTAGCGCACACAATCCATATCTAGATCTAGTCTCTGACAGATGTGTGTGTCATTTTCATTTGATGAACAGAAACTGCCAAGCAAGTTTAAGAAGTTCTACGCGGAGTTCGAGAGTTTAATGGTAAGTGACAGTAGCTTTCCCATTCCCTCCGCCGTCCGCGTTAATCCAATTTCCCATTAGCTCGAGTTCTCGTGGCAGAAATTTTATCTGTCCTTGTATGACTTTAAGAAGTTTATGATCCCTTTTAGTGCTGCTAAAACAAGCATGCCTGACTAATGAACGGCCCCCTCAGGAACTAACTTAAAGAGGACTTATGTCCCACATAAGGTCAATTTGCGTAACTTAGAAAAGCAGTGTAATAGGGTTCCTACCTAACACAGCTCAGGTTGCCCAGGGGTTGGAAGCTACATCTCTTGGCTTGCCAAAATTATGTCTCCCCGTTGTCTGGGAGGTGTAACCAGACAGGAACGGGACGAATGGGTCTTGCTGGGAGGCAGGGGGTGGTTCAGAGGGCGAGTTAGAACTGGCTTTGCAAGGTAGGGGATGGGGTGGGGAGCCAACCTTCAGGGAGGAGGTGGGGCTTCAGGGAGTGGGGAATCTGTGGAAGTTTGTCCTACGGGTTCATTTTACATTCAAAAGGATGCCTCTCCTTGGCTCCTGTAGGCTTCTTAGTGAGAACAAACATGCAATACTGTCTCATCCATCCGTGAAGTTGTTTTAAAACCCAATCAAACCTGTTTAAATCTGCCTTTCTTCCATAGTTACATCTCATCCCAAATACCCCGCTTGTGGGATGCTGAGGCTATGTGTCCTAGGAGGTTAGAAAGGGGGGTGTGGTTTCTGTCATTCACCACTGACCAGCCACACTTTGTTTCTCCCAAGGATCCTTCCAGAAACCACAGGGCCTACAGGTTGACAGCAGCGAAACTGGATCCTCCCATCATCCCTTTCATGCCCTTGCTCATTAAAGGTAATCTCAAGACACACCCAGGCCAGGCTGGAGGGAGCACTGGAGGGGTGAGGATGAAGGACAGACACCCTCTGGGAGGGTTGTCTGGCAGAAAGACACTGCCTGCCTTGATTCCCATTCCTGGGTCTAAGCGTCCTGAAAGGGTTGGGAGGTGGGAAGGCAGTGGTAGGAAACGCCTGTGATTTCTGAAGCCTTGTGAGTGAAAAAAAACGGTTTATGTTAGAGATTTTACTAACCTCAGGCAAAAGTGATTTGGAAAGTTAAACACCTAACATAAAAGAAACTATTATCAGCTTTTTCAACGGCAGTATTATGCAAATCCGCCCGCATATGCTAATGGTGCTATTGTGCTTTCTTAGTGTGACATATTTCGGTTAGTGACTGGAATGTGGCTTTTATTTCTTTACAGATATGACATTTACTCATGAGGGGAACAAGACTTTCATTGACAATCTAGTAAACTTTGAAAAAATGGTAGGTGCCGTATTATAACCTTAACCACAATGTTTTTTTTTTTAAATAAAATTTGCATTTGTACTAATCAGGCAAATAACGTCTGTGTGCGCTGCCATGTTACAAAGGTAGTTATACAGAAAGGAGTTTTGAAACATTTGGTTCCGATTGGCTCCCCCTTCTGCTGTCAGTACGCTTTTGTGGAGCTGAATGGTATTTGTGCCTTGGCTCTCAGCGGCAGCCGGCTTTTTATGCCCGCGTGTTTCCGTCCCTCCGATGCCTGTTGTTAAAATGCACGCATGTTCAAGAGTGACTTCTGGGTTTCTGGTTGTTTGGTGAGGTCTGTGCAGCTAGACCGCCCCAGGACGCCTTTGAAATGTTTCTCTGCCAAGGCTGACGGGAGTGCCTGTAGGGGAAAGGCAGCGCCCGCAGCTGAGCGGGTCTTTATTGCAGAGTATTAATCTAAGTGTGGATTGCTTAGTCTCATAAAGTTCACTCAAGTTCAGTGAGGGGACTTGGAGGCTCCGAGATCTCCATAACGACGGCAACGGCAACAACAACAACAATGAAATGTCAGTAACAAATGGGAAACTGGCCCTTGCCTAGTCCGTATTTCCCAGCCCCTTCTCCTCCGCCCCACCCCCACGCAGAGAAGAGGGAGTCTGGCGAAGGTGCCCTGCAGTTTGTGTCCTCACCCTCCGTGAAGCAATAAGGCCGGCCCTTGCCAGAGCCTTTCTTTAGCCGCACAGTCCGTGTCAATGGAACGTCACACTGTCTCCGAATGAATCCCTGGGCTGCGTGTCGCCCGGAGGGACAGAGTGGTAGAGCTTCATTTCCCCAAGGGGTAAGCATTTGCCCAAGGTTGTTTTGCACTGTGAACACGGCCTGGGATTTGGAACTTGGGAGACATATGGGGATCAGTACTCAGTTCCATCCTTGCATCCCTCATGATTTGTGTGAGTCTGTTTCCCCAACAAAAAAATGGGGCTTGTGCCTGCTTTAGCCACCTCCAGGCTGATAGATGGTAGATGACAGTGGTGCATGAGCCTTCCTGTATGTCAGAAAGTGCTGGAGAGGGCTTAGCAGAAACCTGTAATTCCAATTGTCTCTTGAAGTCAAGCTAGTGTGTATGTCTGTGGAAGAATTTGAAACACCCCACTGTATGCGGGCTAAGGCTCAGCCCTGCTCATATAAGCTTGTGATTAGGAAGCACAACTCAAGTCCACTGCCTTAGACTTTTGAGGAAGCAGACTATAAGCACACCCTCCTCAAAGACACTGCAGCATGGGCAAATAGTGATTCCTTGCTCACTTGTTAGCATAGAGAGCTAAACATTCCCCAGCCTTTCTGAGAAAGACAAATGCTTGTTTTTCCAAAGTGGACAGTTTAGCAAGTAGGAAAATGCCTCCTGAGTCACTTATACAGAACATTCTTAGATCAAGGAAAAGCTAAGCCAACCACTGGGTTATAAAATACAAGCAGAGATGTGAAGCCCAGCATTCCCTGGAGAATCGACTGACTTTAGGACTGCTAACATGAACAAGACGGGCCAGAGCAAGCAAGGTTGGCAGCACGAGCTGAGCCAGCCGTCTCCCAGGGAGGCCGAGAGTTGTCTCTGAGTTCCCAGAGCTGTGTCCTCTCCATAGCCTGCAGAAGGAAAGTCAAGATGACCCATGAGTAGGGCTCCTCATGTCCTGTACCTCAGATCCACAGCCATGAACTCCTCCCTGCTAGGCAGTAAGCAAAGAGGCCCTAACTGTTCTGCTCTCTGGGTGGCCATGTTTGTTCAACAGCCACTGATTAGTTAAGCTGGCATCACAGCTACAATGCCCAAGCCTAGATTAATGACGGGTTGGATGTCATTATTATAATTTAGAAGCACAGCTAAGTTTGTTTCTTTGCATGTCAAAGTCTTCAGTGAGCATAGCAGCTTTGCTCAGAGGAGCAGTTGATGCTCCTGGCTTCAACCCTCTTTTCATTTCACGTGGTCCATGATGGGACGCCATCACGCCCACATTCCAGCCGTGAAGAAGGGGACAGGGCTGGGGCAGGGCACGCTTGTTCCCATTAAAGCGGTGGAAGAAGCTGTACTGGTCACTTTCATCACCTTGTGGCTAGAAATGTCGTCACTTGAAAGGAAGGCTAGAAAACATAGCTCTTATTTGGGGTTTCTGTGTGTGCCTCATTAGAAATTAAAGAGGCTGTTGCTGTGAAAGAGAGGGAGGGAGAGGTTTGGCCAAGTGCCTTTAGTCCTTTATACCGGCAATTTTCTAAGTTTGATTTGATTTGATTTGACTTGATAAACTGTGTTACCAGATAATTCGATTTTGGAAATGCCCTTCTGTGAGTTAGATGTTACCAGAAAATGAATTTCAAAATTGACTGATCAATGTGGTATTTATCCATCAACACTGACCAATCAGTGTTGGTCCACTTCCCACTCTATCCTCCCCTCAGGCAGCCCACCCTCCCTCCAGGCACCACCCCATCCATCACTATTATACATGGTTCCTCTTAAGTATCTTGGAGAAGGTTGCATTGTCTTTTCTCGATTCTTGTCAATCATCCATCAGCAAGGCCCAGGTGCAAGCAGGGTTGGCAGTCTGTGCACCTGTTGGGCTCTGTCCTCAGTGGGAATCCCTGACAGGGGCAGAAGACACCAGGGTAGCCAGGGACACCAATGCCTTTCGGTAGAGCTGCCCTCACAAGGGGACAGCAAGCCAGCATGCCAATGCTAAATTTTTGGTTTGTTTGTTTGTTTGTTTGTTTTGAGTGTCTTCCCCCTTGAGGTATGAATGAGGATTAGAGAATTTGTTGCATACTGCTTTTCAGGATCTGTGGGTATGAACAAAAGAGAATTCACACTCTGGTCCTAGTGCAAAAAAAGAAAAATTCTCAGGCATTCTTTCTTTGGGGGAAAACATAAAGGAGTATGTTTGAATAAAGCCCCTCATAGCTTTCTATGGCCTGTATGAATATTTATAAGGCTCGGAAGGTAGACTGGCTATGGATTGGAGGATAAGCGCTGGCCTGCTGCCACTCTCCCTGGCTACAGAAAGCACACAGATAGGTACAGTTGCTGCAATACTGGAAGGCTGGTTCTATTTCAGACATAGCCATATTTAGGTATATTTATTTAAGAATAAGATTTGGAAGTAGTCATTTTTTTTTCTGGAATGAGAAGCCTAGAGGAAACTTCTAGACTTCTGGAAACATGAACAGAAGCTTATTAAGGAAGAGAGATGTTTTGAATCCTTTCAGCTGGGCATTTCTAGGCATTCCATTATATAATTAGCAACAGTGTGACTTCCAGCAGCAGTTGTGGAATGCTGGCTTTGTTACCTGCAGCAATGGAAAAGAGTCCTTAGGTAAAAATCTAAGCGTTCAAATTTGCCTGGTGCCCAAGACCTTCTCAATTCAAAGGAAATCTATAGGAATACTTTGGGGACTAACACACTTTATATAGACTTCACAGACTAAGACAAATGCAGATTTTCCAAAGAGAATGCTTCAAAGCAACAGAGCAGATGAGAGTGCCCAGGGAAAGGATTTCACTAGGTGGGGAAAACCTTACAGAGTAGTCCTTGTCCTTTAGAATATATGCTGTTGTAAAGATAAGATAAAAACACATGGAATACTAAAAATTAACAAGTTATTAAAGCAGGGGTCATGGTAGTAGTGAAGGACATGCACTAAAGAAGCAGCTGGGTTGAGAAGTTCCTGCAGCCATGTCAGCAGCAGAGAAAACCGCATTGCATACAGTCACATAAGAAGATCCAGCCATGCTAAGTACCCATCAGGCATCCTCTCAGACTTCAACTCTGAACAGAGCCCACGTTGGCAAAGCTGTCCTTCTTTCTTTCTCTTCCAGCCTCGAGTCCTTTGTTCTAACTGCCGTCTTTGCCTGAGAGGTTTCTCTCCCCAGCTTTCAGGTATCGGGCTCCTTTCCATGGTTCAGGCTTGAACCCATGCTTCTTCTCTGAGTGGGTGCCCTTGACTCCCCATCTGCCTTTGCTCTCTCGCATCAAGCGCTCTGAGTGATTGCTCAGCCTTGAGAGTAGTTCTTACCGTCTGAGATGGTCATGCTTGCTCTTCTTCATCTGTCCGCCCCACTAGAAGGTGAGGGCTGTGGACCAGGGATCTTGTCTGTTTTGTCCTCTGCTGTTTCATGAGCGTCCATAAATGTGTCTAGTGTATTCTAAGTAGGCAAGAAATAATCATTAAATAGAAGAATGATAAAGAAGGACATTTGGAAAGGATTCTATGACAAAAAAATGATAACCAAAAGCATTTTCTGTTTGTTAGAAACTGAGTTAGCAAGGGTGTCATGTTTTGCATTTCACGAACCTGAGAGTTGACTCAGGATGTCTTTCTCTTTCCCTTAGCTATCTGTTCCAGAATGGACATTATTCTTCCCCTCCCCCACCCCATGGCACTTTGTCCTTCAGGATCTTTCCGATCTCCTTCAGTGTGTGCAGAGATGCACACAACATTCCACATATGCCTGAGCTGTGATGTCCCATGGCCTTCCTATGTACAACAGACTGTGGATATTATATATGACAGATGTGTGTGTCTGTCACAAAGATCCACCCCTGGGGACAAAGTTTAGGCTTCTTCAGGAATGTATACAGCAAAGGCTGGTTGAGTTCTGGGAAGTTGGGCCTTACTGTGTGCATAACCAGTTGTTGCTACTATTGGCATAATCTTTGTAGAAGAGCGACTATATATTTCTGTACCTTCTTATTGGGGAAAATTGTGTCCTGAATATGGAGCAGTCTATTGTGTATAAATTTTATTAGTTATATATGCTAAGCATGGAAGAGCTGTAGGCGGCCTATCCTGGATAAGCACAGAGACGGAGAGATTCAAAGCAGGCCGGACAGAAATGTCAGAGGAAAAAAGAGAGCCAGGCAAGCAAGGAGAGCAGTGGTGCCGGCATTGGAGGGTCATGAGTTCAAGGCCGGCCTGGACTAGAGCAAGATCTTCTTTGAAAATCAAAATAAAGAGAATAAGAAGTATTGATATCTTAACTGTCAACAGAAGGAGAGGCAAAAACTGCTCCCACAGACACTTGCTAGAAGAGGCACTCTCAGGATGCTCCTAGCTGAGAAGCCAATGGCCTAAGGCCAGGGAGGCTGTAGCGGTGGTGTCTGAGCCTGTAGCAGGTGGTCTTGCCAGGAGGCCTGCAAGTCTGAGCTTGAACACTGGACACCTAAGCCTAAACCTTCTCAGCAACACCGGGAGTGGTGAGCTAGCTCGGGCAGAGCCAAGGGTCAGCAGGAAGAAGCTGGAAAGACTGGGAAGCATAGAGGCCTGGCAGATAAGCCCAGGTCCATACAGGTATGGAGAGATGAGTGATAAGACCTGGTTGGGCGACTCTTCTCCTGAAAGGCTAGCTGACAGGTCAGTAAATGGGTGAGACAGAGGCCTTGAGCAAGACACCTCCCACCCCACTGGATCCGAGGATAAATATCTACCTCAGAGCTTGAGGGACATTCGTGTCTGGCTTATCACCCCAGATGTGAAGCACAGGCACTGCTTGTCTCCATATTGCTCTCTTAGGCCCCGGGCAGCACATCTGTTTCTGCATCTGTCTTCAGCTGTAAAGAGAAATAAATACCTGGACGCGGCTACAGTCTTTCACACAGCACCACCGTTTGCCTTTGAGAGCTCTCAGCACATGCTCATCCTGGGGACAATTCCTCAGCCTCAACTGGGTCCATCTCTCAGCCCTGCATGGTGTAAACAAGCCCCAAAGGCCTGCACTTGGAACCAGAGAGTTATTTCAGGGGTTCTGATGAGGGGTTCCAGCCTGTCCACCCCACCAACGTGGAACATCTTCCAATGGAGGTGTTCTCACAACCACCCCAAATTACAAATCATTTTGGTGATGAGGCAATTGTTAATAGGAGTCGTAATCCTCAGCTTTGTTGGGATGGAGAAAGGTTTGATGTTCTGCTCTGGAGTAATCAAGCATCCCCCCCTTGCCCCCCACATCTCCCCCCCCTGTACTACCCCCACCCCACCCTAGGCCTGGCCTTGTGGAGAGTTGCCTGGCCGGCTCCAGCCTGGCCAACCTGCTCTGGCAAAAACCTCCAAATCTAGGGTGTAATTTTTTTGCTTTCTGCCTGTGATGGGAATTGGATAACGAAACCCAGGTCTCTTGAACTTCAGTTTCAGCCAGCCTCAGTTGAGCGCAACCATGGATAATCTTGTCTGCCACCAAAGATGACACATGGAGCGAGGTCCTTTGAGACACAAAAGATAGACTAACTAGATAAGTTTTAGTGGAGATGAGTGTAAAATCCTCCCTCTTGGTCCTCAAAATCGGCTGCACATGGCCAGAGCAGAGAGCTGAACCCGGGCAGCAGCCCAGTGAACCAGGCGGTGAGGTTTAGTTCTCCAACGTCCAACAGATGTCAGCTACGTAATTTTATCCAAATTGTGACTTAGATGTATAACTGAGCCAGCTCAAGAAAAGGAGGAAAGCTTGTCTGCAGAGTGAGTTCCAGAATAACCAGGTTTGTTACACAGAGAAACACCCTGTCTCAGAAAAAAACAAGCAAACCTCCCCCCGCTTACACACACACACACACACACACACACACACACACACACACAAAATGAATAAAACTGCTGAATAAAAAACTCTGGAAAATCAGGGTGTTTAGGTTGAATAAGGGAGACCAAGGAAACGATTCTATGTGTTTGAGGAACTAACCTTTCTGCTAAGGTTCCAGAGCTCATTGACTGGAAAGAAGAAGGAGAAATACTTTTGACTCCAACCAGCAATGAACTTCTAGTTCAGAAATGGTTATAGATGAGAAGGTTGACTTTGGAGGTGGTGCGTTCGCACTGCTGGGTGTACTTGAACACCCGGAAGCCATGGCGTATAAGCAGACTATAGAAGGCGTTATGCACCTGGAATGCTGGGGGGGGGGTGATTCCTGGAGTCTCAGTAGCATATTAAATATTGCACGTGTCAATGGGTGCAAAGCAAAAGAGGTTGGAGCTAAAATATGTTAACCCCCCCCCCCTTTTCAGCCCCCTGGAAAATTCTATAAGCACGGATTGGCCAGCAATGCTGGTGGCCTCACTTAACATCACGGAGTTCACACCATTAAACATTATTGTGTGGACCTCACGTGGAGAAAGAATGGACCTCCTTATAAAGCCCAATTTGGATTTTGAAGTTAAGCTGAAGTTATCTTGGCAATACAATTAAAAGGATACGTCAAAATTAAAACCATTGTGAAAATTAATCAAAGATTTGGAAGGGTAAAATGAACTTCGGGGCTAGAAATTACAGATTTGAACAATTGTTCTCACATTTTAAACTACATAATGAGCTAAAAAATTATGAAGCCTCAGAGGATAGCTATAAAGAGTAGACTAAAACTAAAGTCAGAATGAGGTGTTTTATCTTTCAAAACTAAAAAGCAGAACAATTACTCCCTACAAAATGGTATAGGAAGAGGTTTCTGACCTCTGCTAATTGTTTTATTATTCTTCAGAGGGGCATACTGGCAGCATTTCATGGAGTTTTCGGTAATTACACTCCATTCAATATCTGAAGAATTACAATAATTCTACATGGAATATACTTGTGCCCTTCCGATGCAGAGCCTTCAGAGGAGTGAAGAAACAGCTTAAAGTAAATTAGCAGGGAAATTATCATAGTTACTGTTTATTCTGGGGCTCCGTATACCAGGGGCTAATTATACATTGTATGCTACGTTTCCTTGGAGGTTCTGGTCGTTTGTTTCTCATGCCCATCAACAGTCTTGCTGGTCTTTAGCATCCTTTATGACAGTAAAGTTTGAGCAACTTTTCCGATGGCCTCTCTGTGTGGGAGAAAGCATCCCGCACAAACACGTGCTGCCTCCGCTTGCCAGAGCCCTGCAATGGAAGGGAACGGCAAGGGCACATTGTGATGCTCTTGTATACACATCTGTGGGCCTTGGCTCTTCCGTCATCGCCTCAAAGGCATCTTCTTGCACATTAGCAAAACCAAGGCCTGTGAGAGCGAAAAGTGGGGACTGGTTTACATAGCTCCTTGGAAATAGGGGGTTGCTTTACCCAGATGGAACCTTTCCAGTTGTCTGCTGAGAGAGCTATTCATCCACCGCTCTGCAGAGTTCCCTTCAGAATCTGAGAATCCAAGTCCAGTAGCAGGGACTTCCAAGCCAAGCTGCTGCTCAAGTAGCTTAAACAAACCCTGACATCTGGCTGAAGAATGGTGCTTAGGCCTCACCAGGGTTTTTCTGTGGGAGTCTGAGGTCTCGGTTCCTAGCCTTCATGGTAGAGGTGTCTATCCTTTTCTTCCACTTGCCCACCAAGTCTGGGGTCTCTCGTCTGCTCAGCAAGCACTTTCCCACTAGGCCCCATCCCCCAGCCCTTCTGCTTCCTTTGTGCCTGTATGCAACACACACAAAAAATGCTCTTTTAAATTTTTATTGCAACCAAAGCCTTAAAGAAATTAAGATCTCTGACTGACAAAATTAACAAAGGCCAACTGAGTTTTGGTCCTGCTTAGAGAATGTTTAAGATGCAAATGGCGTGGGGAATAAGTCAGTGCAATGTAGAAGTGAAAACCAAAATCAAATATACATGCAGAGTATGACTTAACTTTTTTAATGAATTTGTGTGTTCATTTCTAAACTATTAGAAGGCTAGTCAGACAGTGGTGGCGCACACCTTTAATCCCAGGACTCGGTGGAAGTAGAGGGAAGTGGATCTCTGAGTTTGAGGCCAGCCTGGTCTACAGAGGGAGTTCCAGGACAGCCAGGGCTACACAGAGAAACCCTTTCTCAAGAAACCAAAACCATTTTTATTATTTTTTTATTGTTTTCAGATATATGCCTGATACAAGCATATATACAAATACATATATATATTTATAAAATCAGAAGAAAATGCACCAGAATAAAAATGTGTTTGCCCCTTGAGTTTATAACCTACATGGTTTTACTTATTCTTACCATTTTGGTTTCCTACAATGTTTATATGGCAGTGTTATAAATATAAGGAGGTAAAAACAAAGAAGGAAGGGAAACAGAGTTCAGATTGAAACAGAAACTTTTTCTGGCACTGACAAGGGTCAGGAAGGCATAGTGAGCAGCAATAATCCCAAGCAGAATATTCGGACTTCCTTTTCCGTGTAATCTACCACCTCACTGCCTGCTAACTAGGAGAAACTTGAAAGCTAACCTCCTTCAGATCCTAGATAGTTTCAAAGGACGGGGGAAGCAGTTTCTCAGCATCAAAGTAGAGTGTCAGGTGCACTTTTACAACATGAGGCGCAGGCCCAGGGCAAGACAAAGAGCTGTGTCATGAAGCCATGAATATTCGTTACCTGCAAGCGCTTTGTACTAGGATGCCTCATTAACGTCACTCTGCAAGTTACATATCAACCAGGTGCCTTCCGAGGATCAACATGCCAGGGCATGCTGCTGTCTCCGGTGATACCAAGTGTTGTTGGAATAGCTAATGTTTTCCCCCTTGGCAGATTACACACTAAACTGACTGCCATTTCCCTTCTCTTCTTCCTCACAGCGCATGATCGCCAATACTGCCAGAACCGTACGGTACTACAGAAGCCAGCCCTTCAGTAAGTTCTGAGTTACGGCATGCTGCCGTGCATGTGGTTGCGATTAAGTCCTTTCTAATGAGACTTTCAAGACACCCTAGGAGTCTGGATAGCATTTGACTGTGTCAAATGGAATTTGGACCATGAAGCACACATGTGCCTTGGGTCTAAGAACTTTGTTTGGCTGTTATAAGATTAAGAAGATATAGTCACGTTGCTGTAACACAAGAAAATATGGGTCAGAATGCTCTTTCAGTGAGTGGGTTTGAAGGAGCTTCCTTTGCTCATGCCGATGTAGCTAGAACAGGTTGCAAAGGCCCGTGAAAGCCTGCCTCCCCGTGCCGCTCTTGATGTGACGCACTGCTCAGTGCCAAGGAACTTAGCAACCCTTGGAAAATCAGCACCATTGTTTATAAACTGAAGATAATTTATTGTTTCTCGAAAATGCATTAATGTTTATAACACATTGGCAAAAAGTCCCATGGCAGAATTTTATATAACGTTTGTAGTGTTCCCAGGTATTCTTTTAAATGTTGGCCATATGTCATAAGTACCAGTGCTATGCTTTTGTAGGTATAAAATATTACTCTTAGCAGATGACTGTTTTAAACTGTTGGGACTTCAGTTTCCTCATCGTGCCAACTGGCCACACTAGGTTGGTGCTGCTGTCTTTGCTGGCCTAGGACCCGGGATAAGGTCTAGAGCTTTCCTCCCTCGGTCTGGTTTGGGAGAGAGCAGGTGAACCCTTTGAAGTTCGGTGCTAATGCCACTGTGTGAGTCATCTGAGAGGCTGGCATTTTAGCTCAACATGAGCCAATGGCACAGATAAGACAGCAGCCTACCTCACCATCCTCTCCAGCAGATCCTGTCCTAAGAGACTGACAGGTTCTTGTTTTAAAAATCACAGTGGTATGCTCTTTGTAGTGTGGCTCTGGCCCAAAGCCAGAGCTTGCTAACATAGAATGTCAGAGCCTCACACTTCATTTTTTTTTAAACGTTCAGGAGAAAGAAAGAAAGAAAGAAAGAAAGAAAGAAAGAAAGAAAGACAGACAGACAATTAGAGAAAGTAATCTTGGCTTAGGAAGTGAGAAGGGCTTTAAAAAAGCTTAATTCATACAACCGTGCCCTCTCGTTCCTGAAAATGAGAACGGTCTTGCATGTTACCAACCCCTCGGCCTGGATCCTGCCAACGGTCAAGCACCTCACATCCTTCCCTATAGTGATTTACTCTGTGGGTGAGAGGTGGGACCATACATCGGCTGAGAGTGGGGAGAAGCAGTACCAGTTACAACAAACAGGCCTTACTAGCCAGAATCCACGTCCCTTCAGAAGATTCCAAAACATTCTCAAAATCACATGCAAAGTCCTGTGTGCTGGAGAGGGCTCAGAGCCTTTGGGAAGGATTCTCGGGGAGGTTCTAGAACCAAACAGGAGCCACAGAAGACTCAGCCTTGCTTCATCAGTCTCTCGGGCAGTAAATTCTACCTTCTTCCATATCTTTGAGAAAAGTGAGGGATTTTTCATGTTTTTGTTATAAATTTCCAGTGCATTTGTTGAACTTATCAGGAACTGCGGGTAAACAGCAGCTGCTCGTCGCTGAAGTCAACAATCTATAGATAAAGCTATAGGAATAGATTCATAAACATTGTGGGGATATATACAATGTAATTACAGTACATTGTACATGCAGAGTATACTGCCAGTGGGAAGCGGAGGAAATTAAGCACAATGTGTTCTGTGGGTCGCTGTGGTATTATTTATATGTGATAATTATACTGATGAGTTTGTTCTTACAGCAAGCAGGGGCCTTTGTAGCTTGTCTCTGCGTCTGTGCTCAGACCTGCTTCACCCCCCTCCAACTCCTTAAGCAGATGGCGTTCTGATTGTCTTGTGGAGTTGTGGGTGGATCTAGCAGGAGCAACTGGACTTCAGAAAGCAGCATTGGGGTGGGAGGAGAGAACTCAGTCCAGAGTCCAGTTTCCAACTTGGCCACTCCTGCTGACTGCTAGAGAAAGGAATAGTTCCCCGGATCAGTCCCTGACCCATGGACTGCAGCAGAGGGTTGGGCTGTGTATAAACAGCCTATAGGGGCTCCATTTCAATTTGGGGAACTTTACAGGGGAAAAATTCAGACTCCTTGTTTCAAAAAGAATGAAAGGAAAAGGAAAAGAGGGATAAAAAGAAGAAACAGAGAAACACAGGGAAGACCCGGCTGGTCTGGACACAGATTCCTATGTGGTGGCTGCATTCAGGAGCCACCAGGTAGCCGCTTCCCAAGGTTCTGTGTTTCCAGTTTTCCACTCTGCTTTTGAATCTGGCCTTCTTCATTCTAATAAATAATGTGTGTAGGAACTATGGGTGTTAGATTTCCTTGGAGTCCTGGTTTGAATAAAATCCATTTACCTTTTTGATAGCCCAGGTGCTCACATGGATAGATCAAAATAGATCAGAGCAAGTCACATCAGAGAAGAAAGCTGTACTAGAAGTCATCAATTAGCCAGAAGGTGGCCTGTCCCAAGTCTGGACCGTGCCCAGGGGCATACAGTGAAGTGCTGCTGTGTGTGCGTGCAAGCTCAGGGGGCCCACGAGGCCTGATGCCCACGGGCTCGCTTCAATGCGGTCCAGGTGTTAAGTATTCTTGGGAGTTACTAATGAAACTGTATCTTTGACATTGGTCCTCATCCGGATCAAAGGAGGTGGAGACAGGGTGTGAGACACAGAGGTGAGCTAGGAAGGGAAAACAATTCTCATCTGCCACCAGGGCCATCAGACAGATGCTTCCCTTTTTATTTGGTACCCTTTTTAATTTTTTTTTCCCGGTGTGCAATGCAAAAGAAAATGATCAAAAGAGATGGTTCCAGGGAAGAAAGGGAAACTGGAGGGTAGGAGGGAGCAGAGGGACCAACCAAGTCGAAGCAGTTCTGTGGATGTGGTGCGTGGCCAGGTCTTGGCGGAACCCAGGGAATCTGTGATGAATGTGGTCAGCCAGCATCTCACATGCAGATAGTAGGCAACGCCAACTCTGCCTGCTCTTCTTTTAACAGATCCCGACGCCGCTCAAGCTAATAAAAACCATCAGGATGTCCGGAGTTATGTACGGCAATTAAACGTGATTGACAACCAGAGAACTTTATCACAGATGTCACACAGATTAGAGCCTCGCAGGCCATAGGCACGCGAAGGGCTCTGAGCGGTGTTCTGTCTCCGGTCCACAATCTCTCCAAAACGCCCTGTGTGCGTGTGACTACTGACTGTGTTGTCACTAGAGAATTCTCCAGAATGAGCAGAGACACATCCCGAGACCCCCTCAGGGCCACACCCAGCTTTCCGAGCATCCCACACGAGAGGAAGAGATTGGACCTGTGTGACGCTGACCTGCCGTAGCTTAGGGGTCATCCGTTATAGTCACCCTTCTTCATTTCCAGCCATGCCGTCATCAGGCTCACACGAAGAAACGCGATTGCTGAGGAATGCCAAGCCCCTGACATCCCCTTCCAGGCTGTGGTAGGAGACTGTGCCTGGTGGGTTTGACTTAGATACATTGATGATGATATAATTGAATGGGTTTTTTTTTTTCACTTAGCACCTTGATTTGAGGCATGGGGTCTGGGGTGGGTGTGGAGGAACCATAAAAGTCCAAATTATAGGTCGTATTCCTCCATCTTCATAATCTTACCTCTGAAGGACTAGAGCCCACACCACAATACAATGAAGCATCGTGGCTATTTGGTCTGTAATTTCCGAATGATACTATAGAAAATATGTTTACATTGTAAATTGTAACTCTTACAAATTTACAAATCAGGATCGCGTATGTAATAACTGCTAAGAAACACTGAAGCTCTTAATATCGTCGGCATTAAGAGGGAGAACAGCATCCAGAAGAGCACAATATGCACAAAACGTTTTTCAAAATTGAGATATTTTCCTGGGCATTAAAAACCTTTCCTCTACAAATTTATTGTTACTGATGAAAAAAACCGTATTTTCTGGACTTAAATGTTACTACAAAAAATCTTAATTTTCAGCAATTGTTTTGCACTTTCAGATAGATTGTAAATAGGTCGTGCAATCAATGGTATAGAGTTATTTATTCGCTACATGATAGACATTGTGCCAAATGATTCCTTTTTATTTATTTTATTTAGTATGAAATTTTGGAATACATTTTTTCCTGTTTTCACAATTAGACTACATTTAATGTGTAGGCATTGTCTGTACATATCTCTTCTGTAAATAACAGCCAGTATCTTCATTAAATACCCTTGACAAGACATAGCTGTGTTGTCATTTTCTTGGATACAGGAAGTCTCACTTTCAAGTATGGTGGGTGCTGGATTTTTTTTTTACCATTTATTTATTTATTTTTGTGCATGTACTGAGGACAGAACTCAGGGCCTTGTACATGCTAAGTTCACACTCAGCCTGAACTTGGTTTTTGTTGCTGTTGTTTACTTGAAACAAAATCATACAATAATCCTTCCAGTGAGTATGCTCATGATGTTGTAAAAACCAGTATCACTGTCTGACATCATACTGTCACCTTGCAGAAGGGACAGTCGTTAGCATTCTTTTCTCATTTCTCCTCCCAACCCCAGGCAACCCTAATCTACCTTCCGTCAATAAGAGCTCGCTCTGAACCTCCGCTAATTGGAATCACGCAATACAAGCCTTTGGTGTCTGGCTCCTTTCATTTAACATAATGCCTTTGTGATTGTTTCACATTACAGCTTGGGTCAGTCGTGCGTTCCTTTCCGCGGCTGGTCAATACGTGTTGTATGGGTCAGCCTCATTTTGTTCACCCTTTCATCACCCTTTGGCCTTCAGAGATGCTGCTGGCGGGAAGAGGCTCTGGGTGGTGGCCCTGCATGTGTGGGGTATCTTCTTATCTCTCAGTGTGAAGCTGTTAATAAATACTGAAGAAGGAGATACCCAAATTCTTCCTGTTATGGACCTGCTCATTTCTTAAGGAAGCTATTTTTGTCCATATTGTATTTTAGGCTGCACTAGTCTCACAAACTCACATTATTTCTCCATAGACCGAAATACAACCATGAAGACAAGAAAATATGAAGACAATCTTCAAATAAGTTTGAAGGCCACTACATAGTATATCCAGTTCTTACAAATAAGCCCTGGTTCTCATTAACATATTAAGGGTGCTAAGAGGTCCTTTTAAAATGTGTGTAACATCTCACAATTAAAACCCACCTTGCCAAATACTAAAACAAGTAAACGGATTTCTGTGTTTATTTATTTTTTTACTGCCCTAAAGAATAGAGGTGTTATTTTGTGCGGTATTGATTTCTGCCCAGAAGTACACACATACAATGCCTTGGATTTACTACACGGTAATAATATTTTTAAAGCCACAGAGTAAATTTTCTTATAGTCATGACTATTCAATATTGCACTATATCATAAGGCATCAACCAGCTGCAAAGTTTTCACCGGTATGGATTTCTGGATAATTTATAAGATCTTTAATAAGGCTGACTGTGCACTCTTCCTTGCTTTGATTTTACCCTCTTCCTTCCTACATTCCCTGGACGCTGGTATCCTGAGCTCACCAGCTCCATTTCCCAATTCCATGGTGACTGACACATTATAACCTCATTTTAATTTGCTTCCAACGTTATTAAAAATGAATACATCGTCTCCCATGTGTATTACCCTTGGTCTCCCAAATGAGAAGAACAATTACTATAAAATAAGAGAGGTTTTAATTATGACTGGCTTTAATATAAATACATTAAATTCCTTTATTCCAGGTAGAAATGATGAGGTCAAAAGCTTGATACTCTGAAAAGGATAGAGCCAGGCGACCCTTCCTGAATGGGGAGAATGTGGTAAATCCTGCAAAACTTGCAAACAGGCCAAAAGAAAATGAGATGCTTACGGGGTTATAAGAAGGATAATGAGGTTTGTTGAAAGATGTGGGGTGGGGGGGGGGGGAGAAAAAGAATATTTCTTTTCTTTTCTAAAGCTCCAGTAGAAAATTATAGATTTAAGTGTTTAACATAACTGCTCAGCAAGGTCACCAACGTAGTGTCCGGTACCTAAGCTCTCACAGCAGCGCTGGAATGCCATGCAGGTTCAATATTCTCCCCTCCTGAATTTAATGGCATCGCCTCTCCAGCTATGCATGCTGATCAATGACTACCAGTGTGGGGAAATTAAAAGAAGTGTCACTCGGCTTCAAATTGTGCTCCTGATGATAATAAAAATTCAGCAGAGAGGGAGCAGTGTGGTAAAAAAGCCCCTGCCTTGAATAGCTTTCCTTTGCTTGTCGATCTCAAATGCATTACACGTCTTGCTTCCAAGTGATTTGAATCTGTCCTACATAGCAGAGTGGAGGATGGTACGAGCAGGCCCCAGCAGCCTTTACTTATTTATAAATTGGGGGAAACCTTCAACTCAACTCTCGCTGGTCACTTTTTCCATTTGCTCATTGGTTCATTGATTCGTTAGCAGATGATAGTTAGGATGTGTTATAGTTTGGATCTTGAGTGACTATAAAGTACCTATATGTTGAAGGCTTGTCCCCAGCTCATGGTGACATTGGAAGATAGTGGAACCTTTATGGGGCAGAGCCTATGGAAAGAAGTGAGGTCACTGGGAGCAAGCGTTGTTGGGATTCCAGCTCTCTTATTTTTCTCTCTTTGTTACTGGGCCATCTTGATGCCAGCAGTTTCCTCTACGATGGGCTACAACAGACCATAAGGCAATGTGGCCAAAGGAATGATGGATTGGAACTGCTGACCATGAACCAAAATATAGTTTTCTTCCTCAGATCTTAAGCATTTTAGGAGGCCTCTGCGGACCGAGGATTCGATGCTGCAACAAACCGCAGAGAGTTCCGCTTCTCGCAGAGCTTCTCACCCAGTGTGGGAAAGAGGAGAAACCACTTGCATAACCAGACCGCCAACTATAAAAGCCCCCTCAAGGGAGGTTATGGGGTTAGCATGTAAAATGAGGATTTAACTTGAGGTGAGGAAGTGTGGCCAGTGGAATTGGCAGTTGGGCTGAGCGCTGAAGGAGAGAGGAAGAGAATGTGTTCTAAGAGAGAAATGTTTCCATTTCCCCTTCCCAGGGAGAACTTGTTCCTTAGCCTCTCTGGGTTTGTGGGTTGTAGTGTGATTATCCCTTTCTATGGGAGCAGTGGGAGTGGGTAGGGATGGAAACAGGGGGATCAGGTGGGGGAGGGAGGGACAAAGGAAGACAGTACAGGGAGGGACAACCTGTAGGTGGACTTTTAGGGGGAGAGTGGAGACCAAGTGCTGTGGAAACTTCCTGGACCCTGGACCCGATCTCTCGGTGCCCTGACCTATGGAGAACACCTTAGTTACTTCATTATGCAGTTTTTAAAAGGAAGGGCAGAGACGGCTACAAAAACCTTCAGATGTGACAAGCCAGAGGTGGATCAAGATTCCTACAGTCACGTGCCCACCTCAGTCTTCTGTAGGACATGTGTCAACTTACTGTGATAATACCCAAGAAACCGAAACTTCCCATTTAAAACTCTTTAGCGAGTGGGCAGCCCAATGGCGCTGTGTTGGACGGCTCCATCCTGACCAGACTCTAGCCATCTTGAGTTGCAGCTGCCGGGGCCGTCCCAGAGTGACACTTGTCAGTTTTCTGCTTGGTTTCCCGGCAGACCATAAGAAGCCAAAACAGTCAGTAGCATGTGGGACTCTACAACTGGACCTTGGAGCCGGGAATGTGCTTGACTCTGATACGAGCTTAAGCTAAACCAGGGATTATATGTTCCAGCGAGGGCCACGTCATTTTCAACCTGATCAATGGACATAGTCTTCCTCTGGCCCAAGCTACAGGGCTCCGTACCTCCTTGCTACGGCCTCAGACCAGGGTCTTCTCAATAAATCTTCCCAATTGCATACTGTGTAACTCTAGATCTTTCTTCCTTTTTTCTTCCATTCCGTAGCAGCCCAGAGCTGATGCTCACACACTGAAGCCAGGTAATTCTTGTTCAAATCTGTGGGTGTTGTCAGACAGAGGTCACCACACTTTATCCGACACCCTTTCCGCACCTAGACTGAACACTTTGCTCTGTCTCGCCACCTCACCAGGGCAGAGCTTCAGGGTCGCCCTGCCCAAACGGTAGAAGCAGGGAATGGGATGTCATTACCGTCTTGCAAACCATCTGCTAGAGTGACCGCAGCATATGGTGGGAACGCGGGAGAATCTGCCACCCTTGTTTGTTGGGGTTTACTCAGACCTGGTGCTGATACCTGTTTCAAGTGTTTGTCTTGGTGACTTTAGCAGTCCAGGGGCAGCAACACAGGACAAGAGAAAGAAATCAAGCTTGAGCGTTGCTAGGTCTGGGTTTGACTTGGGACTCCCCTCCTGCTGCCCCTCACCCCAACATCAATACTTCCTATGCACGGGTCGGGGAGAGGGGCTTCTTTCTAGTTATTGCCACCTTGCTGGAGTGGCCATCAACTGGACTTCCCTGTGGATGACACCATCCCTATCATAGGCTGTGGTGGACAGACCTGGGCTGTGAACTTGGGCTCATATATTCCAAAAAGATGGAAACAGAGAGAAACCTCCACAAGAGCTCTGAGTCATTGAAAAGGACTTGGCGAAGAGGGACAGTTTGGGAATCATGGCAAGCACTTGCCCTTCATTCCCCGAACCTGCGTTACTACGGTTAGACAGATGTGCTAAACCAGGATTCCTCTGGACCTATGGATATCCATGTGCAGTGATGGCTTAAAAATTCTTTGCAGCAATCAGCTAGCACTTTAAAATTTGCTGAATGAAGAGAAAGAGAAGGAGAAATAGGATAAAGGACTTGGGCTTCTTTATTAAACATGATTTTAAAGAATTCTGTGTATATGTGTGTGCCTGCATGGGATTGTATGCACCATCCATGTGTGTGTAGATGCCTAAAGACGCCAGAAGGCGTTGTTGGAGCCCTGGAGCTGGAGTTACAGGCGGCTGTGAGCCTCCTGATATAGGTGCTGGGAACTGCGTCCTGGTCCTCTGCAAGATCAGTAAGTGCGCTTATCCTCTGAGCCATCTCTCCACCCCCAAATTCATACTTCCTACCTACGGATCAAGTGATAAAAAAGGAAAGAGAACCAAATACAAAATGTTAAATTAAAAACACAGCTCCTACCCGTATAAATCATACTAGAAATTCAGTTTTCAATGTGGCCTGGGTGTTCATTGAGAAGTTCAGCCCACACAATCTAGAAACAATTCTGCATGGTTCTGAGACTTCACCTAACAAACCAGCTCTTCGT